GGGTTAAGCTGAGTTACACCCACTCTCCAAGATCAATCTGGAAACATGACTCAGCATGATATTGCTCTTTTGGAATAAAAAGGGATCTGCTTCTCCTTAGAGGCAAGCCGCTGGTTTTAATCAGCAGCCAACATGTTGCTGCTGCTGCCAGTACATTCCAACTGGAACCAGACCAAGCACTCTAACATTTAACACTTCTACAGTCCTGGTGGGAATAAAACACCAGAACTCTGATTCTGCCGTCTCCCACTCACAATCCTTCTTCGGCTTGTTGTCTCTTTCATCCGTCCCCCTTTTCTCATTCCTCTCCCCTCCCATACTGCTGTTCCTCCTGATTCCTTTTCACCAGTGGGCTGACATTTTTGGCCACGTTCCCAGATAAGAGCGTGGCATGAAAGCAGTGTGGAGGAACAGTTATTACAGGCAGTGTGCTCTGATCAGAGAGGTTTCAGATTACAGTGACACAGACTCTTATCATGCCTAGGGTTCATTTACAATGCAGGGCATAAAGGTTTTGTATTTGATTATTCCAGGATAACTGGAAATAAGGAAAACTACTGCATATCTAATCTAACAGCTCTATTATGTTTAGTGCAATGCTTTTTACTGTCACTCACTTTGAGGGTTTAAAAAGAAACCTGTCAGAAGAGTAAGATAATTTCTGAATAAAATAAAAAAAAACATATCCACTAAATAATTTCTATTGTTTAAGACAATGTTCCTGGTTCTCGCAATGGTAAAATCTTTAAAAATCACAGATTAAACCCTTTCTAGTTTATACGGAACGTCACTGATTGAGATTTTCAATACAGAAGTCTTTTTGAAAGTAATAATCCATAACATATATAAATTACTCATCACCTTACATGTCAAAGTTTTAAACTGCATTCTTGCACAATCAGTTAGTGCCCAGAGTGTTAATGGGGATGACTCTCAGCTATTATTACATACAATTTCAGCTCATTATCTGTAAAATTAATAACTGAATTATAGCCATTTTTGTATTACTAAGATCAATCGGCTGTGGTGGCCATCTTGAATCATGTTGACTCTAAAGTTTAATCAGTTGTAAATGTAGATATGGTTAATACTACTAATAAAACTTTCAGAGAGCTTACATAAAATCATGGTTGGACTACATGGTTAAGTTTTGTGAACACAACAAACTTGCACACCAACACAAGCAATTAAATGATTGCCTGCCTTTCATAGCAGATGGTGATAAAAATACAAAGCATGTGTTTTCGTTTGGCCCGGTAAGCCATCATCAATAAATAATTGGCTCCATTTAATCTCAAAGATGCAGCAAGACATTTTATCATTTACCATGGATTCACTTTTTACAAGAAACTCACAGTCATGAAGCCGTCCAGTAGACCAGAGTCAGGTTTTGGTGGAGCCTGCAGTCTCTCCATGGACCACTTTTCAATGATGGACGCTACCTGGCTGTTCTCAGTGTTGAGAATCCTAAAGCCCGTCATGTTCACACCACTAAAGCGGTAAGGCTCCACGTCCAGTGCAAACAAATCCTAGAAAGAAAATAAAGTGCAAAAACATCAGTAACCAAGTGTTAACTCAAAAATCCACAGCACTGAAAAATAATAATACTTAAATCTGAGTGAAAAATGTTTTGAATATGTGCAGACATATACAAATGTGGGTTAATTTGCTGTTCTTAAAGAGACTTAATCTTTGCAATAAAGTCATGTTTCAGGCAATTCTTTGATCTTAATGGTTCCCCAGGTTCCATTAAGCTTTTCTGTCATGTTAGGTTAGGTTTCAGGACCATAAAAAGCCGACACAGAAGCTGAGTCGGAGGGGAAAACAAACTTAAAGGCTGTTTAATATCAAAAGAGTCCAGGCACCAATTAAAATATTGGTGGAGAGCAGGAACTAAATAAGGAGGTGGGAAAAAAATGAGAAAATGACATATTCACAAAATAATCCAGTTACATCAAATAGTGTAAACACATGGAGCATATTTCCTTTGTAAATACAGATCAATGTGGACCTGAACGCACACGAGACACGTCCCTCAATATACCTTCATTTAAATATGCAAATAGATGCAAACATGTCCTCTTCTCTGGACAATCAAAATATCATGTCTACACGTAGCAGGTGGATCACAGATTTCTTGACAGAACAGAGTCATTGTGTGTAGCTGGGGAAAGTTGTCTTGGACACACAGACTATAAGTACAGGATCTCCACAGGGCTGTGTTCTTTCCCCTCTGCTCTTCTCCCTGTACACTAACTGTTGCACCTCCAGCCATGACTCTTTAAAACTTATTAAGTTTGCAGACGACACCACCCTCATCGGGCTCATATTGGATGGTGATGAGTCTGCCTACAGCAGGGAGGTGGACCAGCTGGTGACCGGCTGCAGCAGCAACAACCTGGAGCTCAACACCCAGAAAACAGTGGAAATGATTGTGGCCACAGCCCCTCTGCCCCCATCACCACTGTAGCCTGCTACCGGTTTCTCGGCACCACAATCACCCAGGACGTCAAGTGGGAGCCGACCATCAGTTCCCTCATCAAGAAGGCACAGCAGAGGATGTACTTCTGGTGACAGCTGAGGAAAGCTAAGCTGCTGGCCAGGCTGATGGTGCAATTCCACATGGCCATCATTGAGTCCATCCTCAGCTCCTCCATCACGGTATGGTATGGCGGGGCCACTGCCAGGGACAGACACAGACTGCAGCGCGTTGTGCGCTCTGCTGAGAAGGTGATCAGCTGCAGCCTCCCATCTCTCCATGACCTGTACGTCTCCAGGACTGTGAGGCGAGCAGGTGGTGTAGGGGTCACCTCGAGTGAAGAAACAAGATTTACTGCCTCGAAGCAGGCCTCAGACAGGACTGATGAGAGGACAGGAACTC